ATTTAGTACTTTATATTCATAATTTCCCCATAGCCTCAAAGGCATCTTTTTATAGTTGGTCTGTTTGAATCAGGACCCCTGGGATTGCACACCTGCTGTTCTGCTGATGCTCTTTATTGTAATGCTTAATGGTTCCCTTCCTACTTTATATCTGCATGACATTTGTTTGTGAGAGTAACTGGAACTTTTGTCCTGTAGAATATCCCACATTCAGAATTTATCTGGTTCTTTCTTTGTGGTATTTAAGAAGTTCTTTTTTCTCTATTATTTCTTGCAAAATAACCCTGAGAGAGTTTTGATGAAGTTCATGATAACTTTTCAGAGAATTTTAAAGAGTTAGTTCTGTTGCTCCATCCTATTCTGTCATATCAGGATGTGTGTCTCTTTCAGTGATGTTAAAAATGACTGGGCTCAGATGGTGGCAATCTATTATGTCTACTAAATGTTTTTCATTTGTGTTTTACCTAGTGCTTTCAGTATCTGATAATCATTGCTCAAATGATTTATTTTCTTAAATTCTACTATTGCTTTTACATTTATTAGCTTTGATTCCTCTCTTAAGTAGAAGGCAACAGTATTCTTCATCAATTATTTGGTTATCCTGAGACACAGTTCTTCTGAGATCAATTCTTAATTCTTTCCCTGTTGATAACAATTCTTACAAGGGTGGCTCTGTTGTCCGGCAATGGGAGCTAATGGTTTGTGTGTGTTTGCAGTAGTAAGAGTGAGTGCTAGATAACCAGCGTGTTTTAATCCATTTCAGTCCCATTCGTTTTGAGCTCATGTTGTCTTCCCTTGAAGAAGGAGGCCTTACAGCTACCTTTTTGACATGACCACAGTAGTCTTAGTAGGTACAATGAGTAGTTCCAAGCTCATCTCAAACATTTCCTACCTGAGATCTTAAATGAATCACTTCTTCAAGAAAGCCCCAGTTTCCATTAATGGTACTTGGAGACCACAGTGTGCGAATTGTGTACACATTATGTATTATTTGTGCATAAGGGTGTTCATTTTTCTTTTAGACTTTTTTCAATGAACTAAAAAACAGGTTATTTTTAAGGAAAAGGTTAAATAAATTATTAATTCACACTGACATTTCTAAATCAAAGGTTATAGGTTTTGAGTTAAAAATTTATATATGTATTTCCTCTTGAACATTTGCTCTTTTAATACTTTCAATATTTATATTGTTATATTCAGCTAGTTCCAAAACAATATCTCTTGTTGTGCTACTCCTAAGAAGGCCAATAAATGTAATTTAGGATACCGTCTATATATTGTCCTTGGGATGCATGTCTCTTGAGGGATGTACAGTCAGAATACTGACTTGAAATATTTATGTTCTTAGAATTCATCTATAAATAACAATTTTAGCTTACTAGCCCTTTGGTTGATATATATTTATTACACTCCCTCCTCCTGAAGTTATTGTTAATTTCTAGAGGGTGGCTTCATTTTTCCTTGGGATTGCATGAAGTAGTATAAAACATTTATATAGGTCCAAAGTCAAAGTGACAAAATAAGCACACTGAAAAAGACCTTGCTTGCAAATTTGTTCACATATGCCAGTCTCTTTCCTCCAGGAGACCATTTGCATTAGTCTTTAGCTTATTCATCCGTTATTTCTTCTGGAGACTATCACCAGGTACACTAAAGAGGACACATAGCCGTCCTTCTACACCTTAGTTTTTCACTTAGCAGTGCACATTTTTGCTATTCTATCTTAGGGAGAGATACCTGGAGGTGGAATTGTTGGGTCAAATAATAAATCCATACAAAACTTTACTAGATATTGTCAAAGTCCCTTCAGGAGGGTTTTTTCATTTTGTGTTTGGAAAGATTGTAAAAATATAGCTTCCCTAGTTTGACCTACTGAATCTGAACTTGGAGATGTGGGCTCTGGGTGAGTTGAATGATTACCCAGGTTGGGAAGCCTATGCCACAGGAAATTTTAAGACCAACACTAAATTCAGTTTGCTGCTAACTTGATATGTGCTATTGTGTAGGCACTTATAAGGGAAATCCCAAGGTGAATATAGTCTCGTCTGCAAGATCTAGAGCCTAGATAGTGAAGAAACATTTATAAACAAAAAATTGTATTATCACGTGATTGTTCAGACACCCAAATGGTATTAGGGTGAGAACTGTCGAGTGAACAGTTCTCGACTGTAATAATTGTACCTAGGATAGATTGGAACTGACTGCTTATGATATGAAAAAAAAGCCAAAGTATGCATTTCACACATTTTTCCTAAAACAGATCTAATGTCTCCTTTCATGAAAAGAAAAAACTCACAAATTTTACCCTGACTTTATCCCATCTGGACTTGTTTCTTTGCTTGTTTCTTTCATGTAGCTTGAGATTTTCAAATTGGGGCTACTATGGACATCTAGGAGATAGTTGAACCTAAAATCATAACATTCCTAACAAAATGATATTTTCAATGTGAAACCATTACCACCATCAAGAGCACTCTGCTTGAAATTATGTCATTCATGTAGTTGACAGGAGAGAAGATAAAAGTCAATAAAAACAGATTTTTTTTATTAAAAAGATCTAATGTTACAAGAACAGTACACAGAACTATTATCTGACTGTACCTTCCACCTGTTATATATCATTATATACAGTATATATACAGATCATATATAAGTTATGTAACGGTTTGACATGGAGTCCACAGTACCTTCAGTATGCAAAACATTTGCTTTCATGAAATTTCTAATTACCAGGAGTGTTGTTTTCTTCATAGTCCAATTAACATCATACAAAAATACAGTCTCTTTAGTGATTTAAGACTGTGGTTACTGTCCCATCCAAGAAAAAGCTTACATAGTACTGTAGCTGAAAAATAGCATAACTTGATAAGGAGTGCTGTCTGCTTTCTATAAAGCAACATATTTAATACATAGGTACATGAACATTGAAAACCTATTTTTTAATAGATTTATGATGCAAAATACATATTTTGTGCATGTTGAGTAAAATCATCCTGTCCCTCTGATTCCCACAAGAATACCCCAGGCATTCCATATGTAAATACTTGTGCAGATATGTTCGATCCATCAGCAATTTGGACATATTGGTTGACTTGATTTTGCTATGTACTGATGTTATATTTTACTGGGTTTTGCTTTATAGCAGTTTAGTATAGAGCAACATGAAAAATGAAGAAAATGGCTTGAGGTATCAAATATGTAAAAACTACTTCCCATTTTTAAATATCCTTATGTATTTTTTTCAGATGCATAATTTGCTTTTGTAAGTTAACAGCATTTTGCAAAACAGCACCCTTTTTTTGCTAAGCCCAGCTTCTCCCACTCCAAAGGAAGTGTTCAAGAAAGGCCAGGTGGTTATTATTCACAGGCTTAAATCTTCACCATCTGTAGTATCTAATCTACCAATCTGTTGACTAAGAGTTACTGGAATCCTTCTTGTTTCTTGGACATAAATCTCTTTGAACAAAACACGAGTACTCCACATACAGTTACATGCTTACTCTGAACTGACTCTTTTAGGATGCAGGGAAGAGAAACCATCTCTCCTCTGATTCTAGAAAGATTAACCTCTAGGGTCAGAATTTGTTTCATTTTGCTTGCTTTTAAAGGTGCATTCAGAGTTGATAGGTTTGGATGATATAAAGGGAATAAAACAAACTGCTTTTTACCCTCATGTTAACCTCACCTCTAAAATTAGTTTCTTCAGGCTCTTTTCTGGAAAATGAGGTTGAAATAAACATCTTTGCAGGAACATTCATGAGTGCCATGCCTTCTCTGGCATATCGTCATGTTTTTTAGAAATTCCTTGTCATATATCATCAAGAAGAAAAATGTCTTAGCTTTCCAATAACTATCTGGGATCATTAAGGTTCAAGCTGCTGTCTCCTAGAATTTGTAAATGGGGGGGCACCTCTGAAGCTACAGAGCCAAGTGGGGTTGATTCTGGCTAGACCAGCCAGAACCTCCATACTGATACCATGTTTCCACAGAGGAATTAGCAGAATCAGTTTACCCAATGGAGACTCTTTATTTTAGCAGCTGGCAAGATTTTACACATGGCATGGATGCATGGAAGTATCTCAAAAATCATAATTTATTTGGTATGTTGAACCATTTTAATCAGCAGACTACACATATGCATAATTATTCACACAATGATTTTTCATTGTTCCTAAAATTATTTTCAATTAGAAGAAAGCCTTGCACTTAACGCAAAGTCTGTTTTGACAGGAGGTGGTTGAATGGTAAAGCTGGCTCCACATGCATTGCATTTTGAAGTTAGTACCTGTGGCAGTATGTCATTGCAGTTCTTAGTGATCATGTTTTTGTGACTTTAAACTACCTTTTCTTATTAAAAAGAAGCATTTTGCTGCTATAGAGCATAGTACTTGAAAAACAACAATTCACTTGGACTCACTTTCTATTTACCTTGCACTGTTATAAATGGCTTATTCCCTATCCTAATGCCTTGCTCTAGGGTTGCATATAGAATTGCGTATTGACAACCTTGCTATTTTGCTATGCCATCATACAATATTTTTTGGAGAAAATTGTGTATTTATCCTATAATGGACCTCATAACTGAAGTATTTTCTTATCTCCTGCTGGTTTAGCAATTGGAATAGTCAGCTGAAGGAAATGAAAAGCACTGAACTCAGACTCTCAAGCAAACTTTTCATTCTCAGTTTTCTATTTGTTTTTCAAACACACCTGCCAGAGACCTACCACTCACTTAACAAATGGATGGCACACACTCAGAGTCATCAGATATAAAATCAAATTCTAACGTATTAAAAAATTAAGAATACATTTGACAGAAATTACCTTTGCTTACAAAAATTCATTACATACAATCTGCATATTTTTATTGGACCAAGAACTGTCCTCTGCATTTACAAAACCCAAAGCGAAACCTGGCAGATAAGGAATACTGTTTCCCAGCCTCCTGTAAGTGCACCATGTGTGGTTTTTAAAGCTTGTCTTAGGGTCTGGGTATGTCACTTACATGACTCTCTCATTCACTGCTCTTCTCAAACGAAAGCAAAGAAAAGCAAATTAAGTCCGCAACTTTCACCAGGAGGCTGAAGGAATCATCAGGGCCAAGATCAAGGTCACCGATGATGTGGAGACGGGATGCAGGGCTGACTGAGCGCTTGTGATTTTCCCACCTGTGAGAAAGAAGAATCAAATGGAGCAAATTATCCTGGCAAGAGTTCTTTGTAGTTTGTTAGACAAATGAATGCAACTTCAGCCCTGTTTCTGACAAGAGTGTTCCTCAAACTCGTGAAAGAAGACATTTTCTGAGCTTCCTGCAGTTACAGGGATGGTAGAAGTATATATGCAATGCTGTGTTGAAAAGACTGTCGTGTCTAACGAGGAAATACAAGCAGTAGATTTTGCATAATTCCTACCAATGATGCATTGATGAAAAATGAAATAATTTTTGTAGAGCATAGTTCATGAAATGAAGCAAAAATAATTATCAAAGTTGTGAGGCAGCATGAATTCAAAATTCCAGTTAATTTTTAATTTAATAATAAGGTAATATTTTATTTACTTATGGGTCTTTGATTATTTTAGCTGAGTAGGGTTAAATTCTAGATTCTTAAGCCAGACTTGGTAAAGAGAAATCTTTCATCTTTACTTACAGCAAGGAGAAATTCTTTCTTGAGATGAAAACATTATATACAGTTAAATTAAATGATCTTAGTTGATTAGTCTGAAGTAGTCTTGATAGTTCCACGTGGACACAAATTAAGAAAAACGTTTAGGTATTATTGACTTCAGCCAGTAACTTCTGAAATACAATTGGAGCTTTTTGTTTTCTGAGACAGGGTCTCAAACTCATAATCATCCTGTCTTAGCCTATTGAATGCTGGGATTATAGGAAGGTACCACCATGCACAGCTATGAATGATATTTAATAATGCTGTCTATATTCCAAGCACTGTATTAAGCCCTTTATATACATTTTCTTATTTGCTCCTTACAAGAGTCCTACATGTTTAAGTGTTCTTATTGTTTACCCTCCTGTTGCAGATGAGATGACAGGTGGGTACTTAGATCAAACTGCTAGACATTAAAGCACTGTAATCTCAGTTACTTGTAGGGTGTAAACAGAAGGATGGCAGTTTGAGGCCACAAAGTTAGCATGAGATCTTATCTGAAAAAACCAACTATAAACGAAAGGACTGGGCTGTGGCTCAAGGGACAGAATGCTTACGTAGCAGAGTGCAAGGCTCTGAGTTCAAGCCCCATGCCCCTCCCCCAACCACACGTGGAAGAACTGAGCTAGGGTAGGGATTAGGAGACACAGACTCCATTGCATCACTCATAAAATAGTAGCTTTCATTATAACCTTAAGAATAAAGATAAAATTTACTATCCAATGTTTTGGAAATGTCTCTGTTAAATTGTCTTTGGCTAACTGAGTATAATAGGGTCACAAGGGTGATTGTTTTCTAAATGCTTACTTAGGAGCTAAAGAATCATTCCTTTGGAAAACACCACATGTATGCACACACACATGTGCAAAATCATCAAATTTTCATTTCTTTGAAAATTTTATAACTAATAAAATCTACCAATCAACATATTAGAGAATGTCAGATAAATTTCCACTTGTATAAAATGGGATTACTGTGAAGTACGTGGCTACATGTGAGTCCTAAGAAAGGAGAGGTGACATTGGAGCCTCATTGGAGTGGCATGGGCATGCTGACTGAGTAAAAAAAAGTAAAAACACCCTTGCTATGTATTTGAAAGTGGCTGTGTCACTTACATGACACATTTACAAAAACATTTCACTTTCAGGGTGCTACGTAGAATCTATATCTCAAATTCTAAATAAAACCCACAAAATTAAAACATTATGCTAGCATAGCAAAAAAAAAAAAAAGTAAGTAAAAGACAAATCCAGAAAAACAAAACAACATTGAGTTAGGTTCTAGCCCTTACTATAAAACTCGATCAAGTCATTCAATTTCTTAGGCATTTAATCTTGAGAATATGATAAGAATGAAGCCAGTCATTGTTCAGATCTTATGGATAGAAGGCAGATAATGCTAATACATTTCACTTTATTGAAAGTCAGGAAATGGGTTACACTAGCCAAAATGTTATTAGCTGAAACATTAAAGTTGCCATTTTTTCACAGAAGTTATAAGTTAATTAAAATATAGATGGGAGAATCAAGGTCTTTGTAAGTACTTCCAAGCTTGGGGCTGACCTTATTCAGATAATGCTATAGATTCTGATTATGTGAGTGTTGAAAAGAACCTCCCAGAGTCAGAATGATAAAATTCCTAACTCAAAAGATTGCTAGAAGGCTTAAATAAGAAAATGTATGGAAAACACCCCTGTAACAGCAGGAGCATGGTGAGTGCTTGTGGCATGGTTGTTATCAGAAATGACATCTAGGCAACAAAAGGAGAGTTATCTTTTTCACTCCTCAGAAAATCTTCAGCCTTTCAAGGTGCTCTTGAAAATTCAGCACCCACATCTGAACAGTTTAACTGTGAATTGATTAAATGCAGAAACGTTTTCACCATTTGTGGCTCTTGAAACTGCCCTTTAAGATTTTGTGTGATCACAATGTATTTAGGACTTTTTACCTGAACATCTGAGAAAGTCAGATTTCCTACATCCAACTTTTTTTATTTCTACCTTTTCATTTTGGAATTATTTTAGAAGTACCAAAAATTGTAAGGATGGAATAAAGAATTTGCTCAAATTCATGCAATGATGATATTTTATCATTTATTTCTCCTCTCTCCTTATTTATTTCTCCTTCTCTATAACCATATATGAATATATATAGATATACATATATATATTTCCATAAACTATTTCAGATGATTTTTCAGACATGGTACATACTTTCCCCAAATGCTTCAATGTATAGTTTCTAAAATATAACACTTTCTTTTATAACCACAGTATGGCTTTTTAACAACAGAAACTTGATTCTAACATACAGATAGTTAAATTTATCAGTTATCCCAATGTCCCAATTATTATATCATCTTGTATTTTTATTCAAGAATTTAGAATTTATTAGTTATCATGCCTCAATAATGCTACTTATTATTTCCCTCAAAGTCTGATGGTGGTCTGTACTATATTTGCCATCCATCTCATTTTGTGGTATCACAAAGATCATGACCAATACTGGCTCTATTTTCAAGTTGGTAATTATATTAAATAAGATCGGGCTTCATACAGACCTTCAACATATCACCAGAGACTTCCTGCTTAGGAATAATTAGCTAAAAGTAGTGCTTATACTTACCCATTAATTAAGTGAACACTAAAAAATTATATCCTGCTTTAATGAAAATTGACTAATACTTGTTTACAGATTTTTATGTCAACTTAAATTGTCTTCCTTTTCTGACTTGCCTTACAAGATGGTTACTTTATTCCAGGTTTCCAAATCTCCCACCTTTAATCAGGTTTCCCTTGCTGGTATGATTATCAACACTGTGGTAGATATGGGTTTGGCCTTGGAGTCTAGCATAGCTAGGTTCAAGTCCTGTTCTGCTAGCTGACGACAGTGTGTTCTTAGACACACAGAAGATTTCCTCTGCAAGAGGGGAAAACGCCACCTACCTCATATGATCGTCACTATGGTTAAATAGAACGATGTCTGGAAAGCCCTTTGACTCTGCTTTATGCACAGCAGGAGCTCAGTAGAAACAATGATTAATATTGCTAATGATAAAATGATCAGTAAAATTTATAATTTAAAAATCAGTAAGCATCAATTTTAATTTTAAAATTCCTATAATCTAACAATAGGGAATGTCAAACTATTGCAATATCAGTTTAAAAGCAATATTCCAAAACCCAAGTGTCCATATAGTGCTCAAGACCAAGGTAGGCAAGGGAAGTTCATAAATAAATACATTCTAATGGTAACATCACCTACTTTCTAGATTTGTAGAAATCCTACAATTGGAAACAAATTGCCCTGGCTTGTGATCATCGTAGGATGACTGAACAAAAGAGGAAAAAAAATCTCAAAAAGTCTGAACTATGCCATCCATCTTTCAAAAGATTTTGGTGAGGTTACGACATCTTGCATTGGTGATGGGCATCCAATGAGGCCTGGGAAGCTGAACTTACCTGAATATGAAGGTACCCTGATTTGGGAGCTAGGTGCTCCATCTCCTCCTTCACTGTATGCCAGGACTTCAATAATATAAACTCCAGCATCCGGGAGTGGCACTACTGCCTGGGGCTTCTGAGTTTCAATGACTTCACTGTTGCTGTGACCTTCTTGCCTATAAAAAACCTGTGAGTGATGACAGGTTTAATTACTCTCTCTTCAACTGAGGATTGTAAACGTTGATTGACAGCCTACTGTCCACATTCCAAGTTCAACACAAGTAGTTTACCACGTAGATTGCAAGCAAATGTAATGCATGGGTTAAACACTGCCATGGAAATATACATACGGGGTATATAAGTAAAAAAGAGTTTAATTCTGTTTGGGGTGGTGCCTGAGCTATGTATTGAAAGATATGTAGGGTTTACCAGTTTGAGAAGAATTCAGAAATGAGATCAGATTTCAGGATACATGTAGATGATAAGAAAACACAGTAGGGCCACTGTAGTGGCTCATTCTGTAATCCTGGCAAATGGGAAGGTTGAGATTGGATTGTGGAGGATTTATAATTACCCATTCAAGGGATTCAAGGTCAACTTGGGGTGGGGGACAGAGAAGTTAGTGAAACACTATCTCAAAAAACAAGCTGGGAAGCCAAGGTAGAATAATCTTGGTCTGAGGTCACCTCAGGCAAAAAAATGACTCTCGCTTTGAAAAATAACTAAAAGCACAAAATGCTGGCGGAGTGGATTAAGTGGTAGAGTGCCTGCCTAGCAAGCACAAGCCCCTGAGTTCAAACCCCAATACCACAAAACCCAAAAATTCCCCACAGTAGTAGGGAATGGAATGGAAAGGAGACATACAGGAATAGAGAGAAGTGAGACCAGGGAAGTAGGAAGTGAGGGGCAGATCAAGAGCTGCCTTCTGTGCCTGGCTATCAAAATGGATAGTACCCTGAGGAAGATTTAGAAGCTCTTATCTTCAAGTTGAAAAGAGTCAAGAAAAATTTGATAAGTGTATTAATAATCCTCAACAATGAAGGAAATGGTTGAAAAGTTAAATTTTATTAATTTATCTTTATCTCAGTGGTGACGTAGCAGTTGGGTAGCAAAGTTCATGAGCCCATCATAGTAAAATTGAACACGCTTGCACAGAAGGCATAACTACAAATCAGAACTCAATAGTATCCTGTTTATCAGACAACCAAGGCTGAAGGTGAGTTAGGTAGCTTATAGCAGAGCATGGGGCTAGACAGAGTAGAAGTTTTATTGGAAGGTTAGTATTTTGATGATCACGTCATAGTTATTTCACTGTTTTGTGCTTTTATGTTTTACCTCCAATAATAGTGCACTATAATTTGGGGGCAAAATAGTCAAAGAGCATCAGCTACAGTATGTTATGGGCATTCATTTCCATTGCTCATGTGTGTTTTTATAATTATTGGGATTGCAATATGATTTCTTTGCACCGTGGAAATAATAATGACTTGGTGGTCATACGAATCTGGATTCAAAACAATTTCCTACAAAACAAAGTGAAACAAAATGAAACCAATTTCCTACAGTTTTCTGCCTGGAAAAAGTTGTGTAAATTACTGGCCTTTCACAGCCTGAATTCACTCTCCTGTTCAATAGGAATAATCCCCCGAATTTCATGGTTTTGTTAGGAGAAAGAAATGAGGATGTAAAACAACACATGACCTGGTGCAGGTGAGCTTAGTGAGAGGAGGGTTTTCCTCTGTCACCATCAATGCTCATTGCCTATTTCAATTGCATGATAAAAGGTAGACTTGACTGAAAGCTAAGTAAACATTTATGTAGCTATGTATGTATATATTTTTCCTTATGGAAAATATTTTGAGCTTGAACTTATTTATATATAAGAAAATAAAGTTTAAAAAAGCAGCATTTTTTTTATTGAAGCCTGGATGTACTTGATTTCCTTGTTTCATTTTAGTAACACCTGTTCCCTTCATCTTTCATTGGTTAAATTTATTTCAGGGTCTTTAGAGGAAAATGATTTCTCTATGAAAGAATAACATGTCCTATGATTATATCTACTGAAATCTTTTTTTTTTTTTGAGAAGGATGTCATAGGTTCAATGGAAGTGATAGAGCATTACCAAATATTTATTGGGTATTTCCTTGACACCAGACACTGGGCTGGAGACTTGAAATTTCATCAGAAAACAAGCCACTGTCGTTCGTGACTTCACAGCACTTAACAGGTTGATATCAGAGGCCGTTAAGCAGTGCCGTGAAGTGGGATCCGGACTGCAGTGGGGCAGTGGGCGGTGCACTCGGTGTTACAGCAGGATGCAGAGCGAGTGCTCAGATTTGGGGAACTGGAAACACATCCCGGAGGATGTTTACAGCAGTTTCTTCAGGTTTAAAAAAATGACAAGTATATCAGAATTTATGCTTCTAAGTTTGACGGGAGCTCTGTAATGAATTGGTTTGATCATCTATGTGAGATAATTAGAAATCAAATTTATGGGAATGGTAAAGTATGTAAATTGGTGAGGACTGGCAGGGGAGTGACTGTTTTAGAGGACACTGTTATTACAGTTTAATAAATTACAATCCTTACGACAAAGAAAAACTCAGCCAGCAATGCGTAGCTAATGTTGCTTGTAAAATCCAGACTTGAAGAAAAATTTATGGATCAGTTGAGATTTAGGGATAAAAGGTGGAAGCAATGAGAGGAAAAAAAAATCAGTTAATGGTTGCATAAGGAGTTTGAGATTAAATGTGGCTTTTAGCAATATGTCTGGGAGCATGAAGTTCTATGCATCAGTAAGAAGCTATACTAAGTGAAAAAGTTACACTAAATTAATGGGAGAATTTTGGCCCATTTTAAAATCCTGGTTTAGAAAAGATGGAGGAGAATAAGAAATACAAGAAGACTAAGGAGTTATCAAGACATCTCAAACATAGTTATTGACAGCAAGGAGGCCAGGATCTGGGCGTTTATAGGTTGGCAGTTGCCATGACAACTGTCTTTATTCATAAAGGTAATTGTCTAATATCAGCCCTGTTCTCAAATTCTATTTAAAAAAACCATGAACACTGGGTTGTCCAAAAGAGATGATCCTAAACAAAAAATTAATTGGTTCTGTTCTTTTCATGGCATGATCTGGAAATGGTTATTCTATATCTATGATGGTAAGAGAATATTGAGGCAAATGTGCTAAAAGTAGAATAGATTCTTGCCAGGTATTCCTACAATTGCCCTCAGAAGGGTTGATCCTGTTAAAGTGAAGACCTCTTCCTTAGAACATCTTGGGAAGAGTTGACAAGGATAAGTGCTGTCCATGATAGAGGATGAGGCATTCAAAGCTCAGGGGCACAGGGTAGGTGAGACGAAACAAACCAAAGCTAGATGAATTTGGGAAGCACAAGTACCACTGAGACCACCAGCTGTAGGGCGGCTGAGAGAACTTACAAGAATGGGATTTCCTTCTGGGCAGTCTTCAGAAGAATGTTTGAATGGTGTTTCTAGCTTGCTACCTCCCCAAAATTCCCATCAAGTTTCCTTAATGTATATACTTGACATTTTATGAGCCATTTATGTTTAATGTTTAAAAGGGAGACTTGATTGTTAAAAATATCAATAATAATCAAATGCAGACGGTATAATGAATGTCACATAGCCATTACCCAAACAAAACCAACATAGGTGTATTTTTAATCTGTGAAATACAGGAAAAAGGTTGCATCCCATATTGGGAATGAACTTAAAATGTAAGAGGAGCTGTAAAACATAAGCACTAAAAGAGAGAGGGTGGCTATAGAGTTACAGACTCCCCAGAGAGAGGGATAGATGTGAGGCCAGACTCCAGAAATGTACTAGTGTGAAATACAGCATGCGTCCTAGTGTGAATGTGAATCTCAGGGGTGGTGGAAGGCCCCAACTGGTATGGAGGTTGCTAAGCAAATGGAAACCTGTCTTATTGATGTGTCAAATAATAATTAGAAACTTGTTGCCTGATTTCTACCTGCTCTTCCTAGCTCTGTAAATAGAGAGAAAGGGAGAGATAGGAGTGGGGATGTATGGTGAAAGGACTGTAAATCTAGGAAAGGATATTTTGTAGATGTGTAATAGAAACAGTAAATTTAGTGTTTCTTGATTTTGTATGGCCTGAGGGTCTTGTCCCGAATTTTCTGACTGCTTGTGTCTTTTCTGAGTGGGAAAAAGTTCTTGGTAGGTAGGGGACATTTGCACAAGTGAAATCATAGTCCCTGGGCATTCAGCATTTATTTTCCTTTTCACTTGGGGATAACTGGATGGAAAAAGAGAGGTGTGCACAAAATAGCTATATGTTTTATGATTTTGGAAAACTTTCATGCAAAGAAAAACCACTTATATTCTCAAGGTTATTAACAGTTATGGAGAAATAGTCTTCAGCCCATAATTTTAATATTGGTACTTCTTCAGCAATGCTAGTAAGAGATTTCTAACATTTCTAACAAATTAGCATGGACTGTAGATACGGACCCCCAAATCAATGGAGTTGTCAAAATTACCTTTTTCATTTAAAAACATTTATTTGGGAAAAATCAATTTAGAGCAACTTTTAGGAAGTTTTTGTTCCATTTTCTCCAGCCATTTACAAATAACATATTGATATACTATGCAACTGATTCTAACTTAGGAAATGTAAATAAATAAAATGACACAAGTCAGTTAACCCAAAGAAGTCATAAATATATTAAATGATTTACCAAACTTATCAAATGGAAAGCTAGTTTGAGTGGGAATAATTTGTATTATTTATTACTATGACAAGGGTTGTCTACAGGTGACAACTTTTTACCAACATGTTTCTGATTCTTCATGCTTCTGTTCCTTTTGGTTACTAATGGATCCTATGATATCTTGAAATTATTGCTTTTGAATCTGAATTTCTTAAATAAGAAATCCAAGATCCTTGAAGACTCTGGAAAATAGAAATTTTACTATTTTCTGAAATGTTTATCTGCATGGACTCAATGTGTTACCTATGACACAACCATATCATCTATGGCTCAATTCTACCCTTTAACCGTATTCTCAGTTACTCTTGAGGGTCCCATTAAGATTTTGTGATGGAGAAACCCTCTTTTTTTTCTCCCAACATCTTTGAATAAAATTTCCCTGACTATATCTTCCTCTGAAATAATCATAGTTATACATGTTGCTGACATCCCAGTCAAGTAAGGAAGTAAGACAGGTGCTACTATGGCTGGAATGCATCTCCAAAATTTAGATGTTGGCTGTGTGGTATTATTAAGAGTTGAGGTCTTAAGAGGTGAATTAGGACACAGGGTCTCTCTCATGAGTGGGAGTAAAAGCCTGATGTATTAAGGAAGCTTCATGCAGCCTTTGGCATTATTGCCCTTCTGCCACAAGAGGGCACAGCGTTCCACTCTGGGTCTTGAACTCAGTTTCCAGAACTGTGAGACAAACTTATTTTCTTTATATATTATACAGTCTGTTATTCTGCTATGGCAGCATAAATGGATTAAAATTCATGCTTTCTTAGGAAACTGGATTGGTTAAATGTCAAATCCTGCTGTTCTATCTTATTATGCTATCTTTGTGGTTCACTTTTTTTTGTAGCCTGTATATAATATTTTAAGTATAAAAAAGAAGGGTTTAGTGGATTATTTATGGATCGAATGTGGACCACACCCATTTTTCCTGCATATTTTTCACTTTTCAGTTATTTTCACAATCTGAGAAACTTCTAGGTGGAGGCTTTTCTGAATTCTTAAACTGGATGGGATGCTAAAGGTAGAATTCACAATCCTGCACTTTAAACCTCAGGCATGGACTCCAAGTTTCCAGCCTCAAACCGTCTTTTCCAGGGATTGTTTTTGCTTATAAAATAGTTTGCAAAGAAAAAGAGTGAAAATAGAGTGACCTTCCTCTTTGTAGTCCAATCAATTGTAGAAACTCTGCCTTGCTTTCCTTAGCAAGAAGTCCTCTACCTCAGAATTTCCAAGAATCCTAAAGCAAGCTCTGTCTTCCTGGATTAGCCCTGACTCAAATTACCTTGTGGAAAGTGGTGACTAGTGCTCTATGTACCTACTTGTGTGCTTAGAAGAGGTGGCCCCCTGTTACACTGGTGTCACTCGGGGTCTGGCAGTAGTTGGCGGGTAGAGTAAGAATGACACAGGAGGTCTTTGCCTCATGAGTACAGTGGCCAGTCTGGCTGCCCGATGTTTGTGTGCACCTCCCTCCAGATGGTGCAGCTCTCTAACCACCACATGGAGACCTTGCCTAGGCTTCAGTGGTTCTCCAAGTCATGCTCAGAAGAGGGGCCCCAAGCTCGCGTTCTCTGAATTCTCTTTCTGATTTATATTCTCAGCTCCCGTTTCTCATTGCTGCCCTGTGCTGCCCATGTCGGGAGGAGATTTTATCCAGTAGCCTGGAACCTTATGGCCACTCACAAGTGACCATCCAGTTACAAAGTATTCCTCTGTTCTCACTTGAGAGATGCCTCAAACGCTGTGTGTCTTCTAACTGGTCCTGTGCTTTCACCTGTTCGTTCTTTCATTGGACTTTTCCTCTCCAGCTTGGGAGACCACTTGCCACAGTTCTAACCATACTAGATTGGTTCTTGAATGATCTGTCAACATTCTGGCAATATTGCTATCTCTAATCCTTAAATAGTACATCTGCTTTAGACAAGTTGGAAGGATATGGTTTTTTGGGGAAGGATATAGGAAGAAGCTGAAGAGAAGAATCCAGAAGATAACTTACCTAACCTCCTGCAAAAAATCTCATTCAATATCCCTGAGGATTAAGGACAGATTTGAGGATGTGTGTGGGTTTTGAGTGTAAGGGCATATATCTTCATACTAATTATAGTAAGAAATGTTACAGGTTTTGTCTTATATTAATGGGAGCTTCTACCATGAAATATATATTCCATTTATAACTGCTTCAGTTTTTAGCATCTAAATTTTAGCACTTTATACACAAAATACTGTTACCATCTCTGATAGAAGAAAACCCACCTATAATGATGATTTTTAGTCTAAATATTGTCATTAAGGCATTTTCAAATCTACTTAAATGTTCAACTAATAATTTTGTAGGGAGTTGAAGGCAGTAAATAGAAGCTGGCATTACGGAAGGAGAATTTGGAATTAAGCCAATTCAATACAGCGATGGCTTATTTTAAGGAGACAACATTTTTCAAAGACAAGCTGTGTAATTATTTCCCGTGCTTATGCTAGCATATGGCCAGATGACGGTGGGATGATGTGTGTGCTGTGGCACTTGCAGTCCCTCTCTGTGGACACTTTCCTATCTGGTGTGCTGACCCTAGTATTGTTTTGTCTTCTGTTTCTTTGTTAATAGAATATCATTCTGCTCAATGTAAGCAATCCAGCCTTTGCCATGTGCCAGCTAAGTTGGTTGCAAGGAGGATGTGTCAGGGATTGTGCATCATAGACCTGTGTCCATAGTGGATTCAGATTTTTGCTGCTTTTCATACTCCATTCCTTCCTGTACAACTGAGTTTGACTTCCTACAGGCTCATTCTAAGACGCAGGTTGAAAATAATTTAGAGAGCACAGAAGGCTTGTTAGTGAGTCTTTCGTTAATGATGCATCCTCATCCTAGCAATTTTTGAGATGAGTAAATGCATGCTGAGAACGAAGATGTACTAACCTTGTAACCCATGACTTCAGACTCATTGGCTAATGGTTTCACAGGCTCCCAGCCCAGCGATACCTGCGAGCCTTGCTGCTCCCACCTGAGGTTGCTAGGTGCTTGACTGGGGGCTACAAGATAAAAAGTGAAAGTGGGAGTGAAAAAGTGAGTAGGATTCTTAAGTACATTTCTTCATTTAAATCCTTTTGAGTATTTCAGTCTTTTCACGTGGTTAGTAGTTGGCTGGCACTACAGGCTTCCTTCCAGCTGGAGTCCGATAAGGAGGGTTTTGCTCCAGGAGTGTCATTTTAATAGCTACTCTACTGAGCTTTTGAACTTGAATCTTTTTATCTCCCTTCTGTGTCAAAATCACTTAGTCTTGTTTCACAGGAAGATAACCTTTATCCACTGGGAATGCAAAATTTCCTGAGCTGGTTTTGGAATTCAGCTTTAAGCATCAAAGCAAGACGAGAAGTTAAAACTCCCTTTTGCCTGCTTATTACGTACCTCACGTGGCTTTCACAAAGGTGAAGAGAGATTTCTCTTTTTGTCTGAAACAAACAAAAAGCCCAGGCCACTTACGGGATTTCTTGGTGGTCGCACTCGCTTCACTGCTGGGTGGCCCATAACCAGCTCCATTGTAAGCCCTCACTGTGAAGTGGTACAAAGTATTGCCCTCTAATCCTGTCAGGATGACGAAGGACTCATTGCCCCGGGTCTTGACTGTTTCTGCTGTGTCTTCTTGTTCCATGTCTTTCCAGTAGCCAACCTGTCAACAGATTATCACATGACAAATTAATTTCAAAGTTTCTCCTGCGATGTCACTGCCTAAACTTCTTCTTGTATGGATGTTGGTGGAGGCCACCCCTAGAAGGAAATTGCCCATTTGACCCAGTTAACAGGTCTTACTGCTGAGGCACAAATGCAGTCAATGTAGCACTACAGGAGAACCCGGCAAAGCAACAGGAAGTGTGACCTTGTAGCCAGATGGCTGGAAAGAGCCAACAATGTGTCCTGAGAATCAATCAAAGACACTGCAGCTCTTTTGGGCTCATAGGTCAGCAGAGCCCTTTATCATTTATTCGAAACCATGAAACTAAATTTTCTGAGAGAGAGGCATGAATGATAGTTCCTTGTGGCCTTCACCTGAAGGTGAAACACCTAAGCCACGTCAGTTGAATGGAGAGGAGATAACCAAGCAGCCATGGCACCCTGAAGTGGTTAAAATTACAGAAGTAGTATTATTAGGATACATGAGGGAAGCAAAAAGAAACAGCTTTATTTACTTATTTATTTATTGGGATACAGGGTCTCTCTCTGTAGCCCAAGTTGACCTGGTATTTGCTATTTTGCCCAGGCTGGTCTCAAACTCGTGATCCTCCTGCCTCAGTCTCTTGACTACTGGGATTATAGGCATGTGCCATCATGCTCCATAAGAAACAGCTTTTTATGAAGCTTAGTTTGCATTGGGGTCATCTTTCCTGGTTAGGAGCTCATGGTGGCTGGTGTCATAACAAACTTGATTCCTTTGTGAGACTCAGTGTCTTTGTGAAGCTAAGGTTTAGCTCTGCTCACTGCTCACACACTAGAACTTAACCTTTCATTTTTGATTCATGAAAGAGTAGACTTCCTTCCTGACACCTTCATTACTGTGATGAATGTAGTGGATCAATGCACCCATTTCATCCTCCTTCAGGTGCTTCATTTACTGTGGGGTCTAGAGGGCCAAACACATTTTTAGTTTCTCTTTCAGCCCAGGTTGCTGGTGTACAATGTGGGCAGTGAAGAACTTGCTGGGAGCTTGGAGATATTCAGAAGTATTGCTACTTTTGGTTATGACACAGGAAGTCATTGTAGACTCTGCTCTCAAGAATGAATGTGTGCGTTACCATGACATAGTAGGGCTGTGACCATCCTACCTTTGGCCAGAGGCAAAGGGAACAAGGAATGGGAAGAGGAGGATGGAAGTTACAAACTGCAGTTGCACTTCATGAAAATAGGACTCTGATCATTAGAGTCCTAGTGACTCTTTTATTACTTCAAATGTATTTATACATTTATACATATGAAATGACTTTAGCCTCTTCCCTTCTGATATTTAATATAAAGTGTATAATCGGCAGGTTGCTTTCTCACGCAGCTCCTTAGAGGAGGAGCAAACTTGGATTCCGAGATGGACAGACTGATTGAAAGGACTTTCTTTGGTTTTCCCCTTTTGGAGAAAGGGTGATTACATTTTTTAAAAGACTTTATTAATATATAATAGCTGTACAGGGGAATACATTGTGATATTTACATATATGTTCAAAATATATCTTAGTTGGATTTCCCCACTCCAACATTGTCACTCTCCCCCTCTACTTCTTAGAACAATTTCAACAGGTTTCATTCTTCTATTTTTCCATATGAATACAAAACACATCCACCATATACACCCTCATTCCCCCTTTCCTTACGCCTTCCCCCTCCCACTGGTACCACCCTAGAAAAATTTCTTTTTTAAAATTAAGTGTATATTGATAGTCCAAGGGGGTTTTGCCTTGGTACTTCAGGTCTGCATATATTTTAATGTCTAATGGACACATCTACGTTACATTAGTATGTAACATTGCTTTTACTACTTGATTCTTTTGGGGAACTGTAGAATGGAATGTGTAGATGTTGAGTAACCAAAGGCATGGAGCACATTAGTTTCCAACATGGCTTCACTCTCATTTCAGCCTTTTCACCCCGAGGAAGATGGAAAGCTAAGCACCATAAGTGTTAGGCTCTCTTGCATGGAGGAAACTGGACGTGCTTTAGGTTCAGCCAGGCACAGGCAGGTGCAAGAGATGTGAGATGAGTCACCCTTTGCCACTGCTGCTTTCCTGCTAGCAAGCACAGTAGTGGAGGTATTGCTCCTTCTGTCCCCTGCAGCAGCACTAATGCCTGTCTCATCGCCTAGCCACTGGATCTAAGGAAGTCAAGAAGCAGGGCACAGGGCAGTCTTCTTGCTGGTGCAAATCATAACAGGAATGGTGGGATTCTGGAACTGGCAACAATTGTAGAGTCCTCACCATGAGGACAGCTTCCTCAATGTCACACCAGACCGGTCATGGTGGCTTCCTCACCATGACAACATCATGGGTTCCTGCAGCCTGTGGTGGTCTGCCTTTAGAAGACTTGAGTCTCATCTTTTATGGCTTGATCCCATAGATTGACCTTGAGGGCTATTCTTGAAACATCACCCTGCACTCTGTTAATCCAACTCTCTCAATTATTTTGTAAACCATTTAGCACCTGTCATAAAACACTTCTTGCTTAGGGTAATTTACTTTCTCATAACTGAGCTCTGCACAATAGCTCTGTGTAGATCTCTAATGTATATATGAAAGAGACTAATAAAATGGTTAAATCCTACTTTTCAGCCCTGTCTCCCCACTGAATTGAAAAAGCATATAACAGAGTGACTGAACTTCAGAAAATTGCTTTTTTAAAGCTGGCAGCCTCTAACACAGTATTTTATATGCTGCTGGCCCCATTATTCCCAATTCCAAGAACTGGCTTATCTTGCTGGGTCTCTGAGCATATTTTTAATGGGAAAGAAACTAAGTTATTTTGAAGCTACGAAATTGGCTGAGAAGTTGTCAGAGGAACAAATGCATACTTTCCTTTCCAGTGATATATCTGACTTCCTGGTCTCGTCAATATTCCTTAACCAGTTACATTATGTTAAGAATAATTAAATACATTTCGAGGGAGCTCAGTTTGATTAAATAGACAAGTTATAGATTTTGGTGCAGATATAGATTTTTAACACAAATTCTGTATTTCTAAATATTGAATATTTAATGTTTTGATTAGTTACCACAAGACTGTACATTCCCAGTAAAATATTAACTGTTTGTTAAGTAACTAATTGTGAGAAAAAATTCTGTTTATACCACTTAAAACCTGGAGGTTTAGATTCCTCACTGAGAAATCTAAAAACTCATTAAACATGTGTACATATGTGTGTAAATACAAAAAATGAGACCTGTTGAGACTATTCTAGGAATGGGGGTGGGGGGATGGGAAGCAGTGGAAGGGGTGAATTCAAGTACGATATATTTGATACATTGTAAGAACTTTTGTAAATGTCACAATGTATGTCTGCCCAACAAAACAATTTAAAAAACACAGAAATACTCTATCAGTTCTTAGAATCTAGACGCTTTATAGGTAATGGCTCTCAACATAATAAATTTACCACTTTTGAAAAAAAATTATTGGCAGTACTGAGGTTTGAACTCAGGACCTGCACTTGCTAGGCAGACATTCTGTCATTTGAGCCACAACTCTAGTCCTTTTTTCTTTAGTTATTTTTCAAATAGGGTCTCACATATATGCTCTAGCCAGTCTGGACCACCATCCTATGTATGCCACCTGCGTAGCTAGGATGACCGGCACACACCACCTTGTCCAGGTTTTATTGGTTGAGATGCAGTCTTGAGAATTTTTGCACGGGCTCATCTTGGACCATGATCTTCTTGATCTCTGCCTCCCAAGTAGCTAGGATTATAAACTTGAGCCACTAAGCTGGGCTTCATTTTTTTCTAGCATATATATTTAAAAAAATTTAAAAGAGCGGCAAATTCATGGTGAAATCACAATTATTTACTTCTTGATGTGAGAGAGAATTAAAATGGAGTTAAGTATAGTTTCTTTGTAACATCAGTTTCTGTTTAAGAATCATGAAAGTATTTACAAATCACACCTTTTAAACTGGAAACGTTCTTCATTCTGTTTCTTAGACATTTCATAAACCCACAAACTTGGAATTTTATGTGAAATCATACGTAATGAAGTTAAAAACATTAAAAAGATATTCACATTTAAAATTAGAAGCACATACAAACTACTATGTTTTATTTCTGTCATATAATTGTTTTCTTTTTTGGATATACATATATATATATATTTTATCAACATTATAATTGCACACAGATGTTTTTGCATTTTAACAACATTCTTTCATGTAACATCTTATTTAACTACTATCCTATTATGGGACGTCTGGAGAGCTTTCAGCTTTTGCTCTTCATGGATATATCATGTACCCCCTTTCCTATTTATTAGATTAATTCCCAAGAATAGACCTCAGAAAGGAGATTATGGGTTCTAAAGTTTAGAAAAATTTTTGGTACAAAAATGCCACACCGGTTTTCACAAACAGTTTGTGCTAATTTTTGTTTCCAAAAATGTATAAATCTAGGAAATTCACCATATTGTTGTGAGTTCTGGGCAGATCAGGGGTTTGAAACAGGCTTATATATTGGAGTTTCACTTTTGGTATGTGTAGGCTGCATATGATGGGAAAATTTCTTAACCCGTGAATTTCTGTATCTTGTTTATAAAACAGGCAAAATAGGACTTACCTTGGTTTTATGAATTATTTTTAGACAAGTTCCTATTGTTCCACTATTTGAACTATTCTGTTTTCCTATTCTGATTTTTGTTACCTATAAGCATTTGTTTTTTAGCCTTCACATTATTTTGATTTTTGTCGCCTAAAAATGAGTTTTCTTTAAGTTGAAATAATACATAATTTTATTAGTGTTAATCAGGAGGTACAAATCGTGAATCATCCAATACTTTAAGCTGGATGGATCTGAACCTCAGTCACAGGACAGCTCTTCTGGGGAGAACTTCTTCCGTCCCAGTTGATTCTCCAGGATGACAACTGCTCGAGCTGTGCAGATGGTGTAGTTAATCTGTGATGTGGGGTTCCGTGGTGTCCATGGCACACAT